CCCCGACTTGGATTTTTATCTCCTCGCAGCCCTGTGATGAGGCGTGTGTCTCTGGCACGTTGCTGATCCCCTCTGAGCCGGTCTCTTCGTCTGTTAGGAAGGAATAATAATAATCCATATCTCTTAATGAAGCTCTTATACAGATGAAATAGAGTCACGTAGGTAAGGCAGTTAGCACGGTGCTGGGCACATCCTAGTGACCACTTAGCACCCGTCGGCGTCGAGGGTGTACCATACTTGCCGGGTGATGAAACAAGGGAGAAGAGTCAGTATGGAAGCCCCCGGCCCCTCGAGGTCACCATCCTTCCTACAACGCCTGGCGCAGTGGAGATACTTAATAGATATTTGTTCTGTGAAGGAGTTTCCAATAGTGGAAACCGAAGGGGATTTTCCAGGTTCTGGAGACCTCGGTGTAGCTTCTAAATGATTCCCCTGCAAGAACACGCTGCCCTCCCCCAACCGGCACCACCCATCCCTGCTGGCCTCCAGCCTCCCAGCCATTCCCGGGGGCCTTCACCCCAACCACAGAGCCTGACATCCTCCAGGCCCCTTTGCCCCCGCTTTGTAGCAACCAATTAGCCTGACTTCTGTTCCCATGGTTATTTACGGCTTCTTTGGCAACTAGTACATTTCCCAGAAACAGGCCCACAGCTCTGGTCCCACTGGCATCCTGCTGGCAGGGCCGTCTGTCCCTTTCTCCTGGGTGTCCTGAGAACTCTCTCTCTGGGACAACAGGAAGACAGAGCAGAGAACCAGGAGAAAATGCACTAAGATGTATCCTGTACATGTTTCTGTAGCATCCACGGTGCACCCCGGCCGGTGAGAGCTGCGGGAGACGCGGAAGTGACGGAGACACTGCCGCTGTCCTCAGACAACTTCCCCAGCGCTTTTTAATCCACTGGGCTCCCTGGGAAGTAGACTCAGAGCTGGAGATTGGTGTGTAGGATGTTGTTTAGAAAGTGCTCTTGGGAAAAACACCTGCAGAAGGGAGGAGCAGGACGAAGGTCTGGGCAGAAGCAGCCCAGCTTTGAAGCAGCCCAGACAGCGTTCTGGGGAGGGAATAACCCTGCGGACTTCGCTCACGTGGGCGTGAGAGGTCCGGGCCTTTGCAGGTCCACATTGATCTGTCACTGGAACAGTGACACAGTGGGCCTGCCCCTGGTAAAAGGCATGACTTTGGGTGAGGCAGTTTTCTTCCAATCAGCACGGTCTCCAGAGAGGGCTGGCTATCTTCCAGCCACGACCCCAGCCCCAGCAGCGGGGGAATCAGTCTTTCAATCCCAAAGAGGGATCTGAGCAGCACTGCACAGCACCTGCCGCATCGGGGTCCGCAGCCCAACTTCAGTGATGACCCAGAAATCTTTGAAGAGGGAGGCTACAAGGCATGTATGTGCATATGTGCGTTTTTCTGGGGGAGTGACCCTGACCCCCAAAAGACAAGAGCCACTAGTCTCAGGAGAGCCAGGTTTATCCATAACTTCAAAACAACATAATCAGAGATGCAAACTATAGCTGCTCAATAAATATGAATGAGTGGATGGGTGAATGGATGGGTGGATGGATGGGTGGGTGGGTGGATGGATGGGTG